TTCCTCGTCCCTCGTCTGAACACAGCAAGCCCTCTGACAGCCTCTTGTTACAGTCCTTCACCTCGGACAGGCTACTTATTTCCGCACCTGGTGGCTCCTGCCCACTGCATGGTACGTCCTCGCGAGTTTCCCAAAATCTTGACCTGACTTTACCACTACCAGCCTTTGCGGAGTCGGAGAATTGGCGGGGTGGGGAGGACGCCTGTGGTCCTCTTTTTCACCACAAGCCGGCGATCCATTTTTAATGCAGTACGTGATTTTGTCGCCCCGAGCTCGCCACAGTATATTTATAGCGGCTCAGAATAACGACCACAATCATTTCGCCCACTCCGCTTTTGGCGGTGAACTTCATCCTTTTATCCCGCCTCGTACAGCGCCTCGGGATATCCTACTCGTGGCTCCCCCCCAAGTGGTGTACGTGATCAACTGCTGTTGCCATTCGTCCACTTACCAGTGCACCTACAGATACCATCATCTTCCTGACATGCGTACGGCTGTTGTATCTGGCAGTTTTGTATCTATCTGACAATAAACCCGCACAGGACATCGTCGCTCTGGTTGTGCAAGGCGTCGGTGGCGGCATGGCCTCCAGCGCGGAAGATCTCGCCGGCGCTAATAGGGCAAGTTCCTTCTGACACCTCTTGCACCATCTAAATTCCGACCAGGGTGCGAACGTAATGCTTGCGGGCATCATCTTCCAATTGGGTATGTACACATGCCCACCCTTTCCCCACTATCACTCATTCCCGCTCCAGTGGCAATAATCGTGTACTCCGCCTTAGCCGGCGACTACTTCAGACGCTATCTCACGGACAGCCCCGCACGCACCAGTGTCTCGAGCACCCGCGGCGTCCTCACCCCGCGCCTCAAAATCATGATTGGTGCCCTCCTGTTCTCCACCACCGTCTTATTCATTCGGTATGTCCCTCAAGCCCAATCAACGTAATGTGTATTGATACAGATCACTTTGCGCAGCTCCATATACCGAACGATCGAGCTCCAGAACGGCTGGAACGGGCGCATCATCCACACCGAGGTCTACTTCAACGTGCTGGACGGTGGCATGGTCGTGCTGGCCATCTTCACGATGAACTTTGCACACCCTGGGTTCCTTCTCCGAGAGCCACCGGCAGCGGCCCACGAGATTAAAATGGTGGGGAGTCGCGACGATAGCCCCGAACACACACTACGCGAAGAAAGCATAAGTAATATGTATCAACCGAAGGCACAGTAGTAGATGTGTTGGACTTTTTCTCGTTTTCTCGGGGACTTGATAGAAACATTTTTAGATGTAATGAATGGGTTGTATTAATATAGGTGGTTGTATTACGTAGTGTTGGGAGTTAATTTTACTCCGAAAAGCGAAGTTCGCTAGGAAAAAATATATTATAATATTGCATCGATGACAGGCTGCAAGTTGAGTAGCTAAATGAGTAGCTGCCAGTCACAACTACAACGATCGGCTCAAGGGGGATTTCTCTGAGTATCCTTCGACCCGTTTTCCTAGTTTGTGAGTTGTGGGAAGTCACTCATTGGTATTCAGCTCAGTGCGAAGTTGCATAAGTAAATATCACCCGCGGTCTCGGGCTTTATTCGATTCTGGCCTCTGCCTAAGTTGGCGAGTGAATCAAAAAGGAAATGCCACAGTTCTTTTAGCGACCAGATTCTCGGGGAACTTATTCGGACATGGTCCTATTACCCTAGTTGAAAATTACGTACAGAAAACAGATGAGAGAAGGAAGGAACGAATACGGAGATTGGACGAGAGGTAAAGCCACACGACCAAGAGCACGAGATTTTCTTTACGAGAACGGAGCTACGTTCCTTTCACAGCGGTGCGATATTCTGGCATCACCACAAGTATAATATGGACGACGACTGGGAAAGGAGATAAACACGAAGTCGTTACATTTGCACATTCTCATCCACCAACAAATAGTTGCCCTCTTCCAGTTGGAAGTGCAAGTTAGAAAATGTGTTGTGTTAAAGAATAAGGACTCACTAGGAATATCTCCCCGCTGTCTCATACGAATGAAGTTGTCTGCTCGGACCCAAAGGTCGGCACGGTTCCATGTGCCGCCGCGCCAGTCTTCGACGCAGTTGGCATAGCCGCCGCTGTTGGTCACGACGAATCGTGCGTCATGCGTCGGATAAGTCTCCGAAAAGTCGGCGTCCACAAATTTCGCGTGCTCCTCGACCGGCGTGTACACGATGAGGGCCTGTACGAGGTTGCACTCGCTGAGAAGTGTCTTAAAGATTCTACCCTTAGGCAGGATAAATAAATTGAACGAGAGGTGGGGGAGAGCAGGAAGGCTCGCAAGGGGCATCCAAGAGTCGTCGATATCGGCATCTATCACATCGAGGTGCGTGATGCGGCTGAACATGGGGCAGGAAAAATTGATAGTGCCGGCGAAAAGAGAATCGGGCTCGATGCTTAATCGATGGGGACGGATATGATCGAGGTGGGTTACGATCGACGGCCAGAGGTCCGAATAAAATACCAAATCTGTCGCTCTAGAGCAGACGCTGAGGGTTTTTTCGATGTAGGGGAAATCATCCGTGAACAGGATATGTCGGACATGACGCTGAACGAAATCTGTCGATCTTGCGGATGTTTTACCAGGCACATTCCAAATGACCCACAGGTGATGCGGGATGGCACTCCCCCGACAGACAAGAACACGATACAACAGTGGCTCCAGCCTGAAGAATGGGTGTAAAAATGTACGGAAGCGCATATGATGAATCTTCACTACCATGTGTGAACCCTGCGGGCCACCAGCAGCAATCTCGGGATATTTTTGTAGTCGAAAATGCAGCGGCCTCAAAGACTGCGCGCTCCAGCTCAAGGGGGAGGACAATATCACTGATGCGCATGGGCCACTCAGACAGCTGTGAGATGTTACAGAGGGCCGGTGGATGCTTTCAGAACGATGCTTGGGAAAGTAAAAAGGCAAGGGAGTGGTGAAGGCTGTGCAAACATTGTACATGTTGACAGATTTAAACTCCGACAATCCTGTCTTCCCGCAAGGTACTTACTATCAACTTCCCGTGGACGCTTTAAGTAAGTTCCGACTCGCTCTCAGGCTGATACAGAATTCTTCTCGCAACTACGTAGTCCTCTTCCACTCACTCATGAAGGACTTCCCCCAAGAACTGCTGGACCACGTCATTGACGATGTAGCCTCCTCCAAGAACACTATGGATCTCAGCGCATGCGGATGTGTCTGCAGGCGATGGCTTCATCGCCGCCGCGTACATCTCTTCTCCCATATCACACTTTCCGACACCAGTAGCGCTGCCGTCGAGAGATTCCTGACTCTCGTCGATGGTTCGTCGGTGCCACTTTTGTCCTTTGTGCAATCTCTCGATATGCATTTTGCTCGAAGGCCCTTCCGCGACGGGGATATGGCGCGGTTGCAGAATTGCACCGCGCTCACCAACCTGTGCATCTACGCGCGCGCAAATTTAAGGTATCCATTCGACCGTTGGTTGCAGACCCACATCCCGCGATTCGGAGCCGCTTGCCCGTATCTCTCGCACCTCGAACTGATGGGCCTGGGATCCGATGTACTGCTTTGCACTATCGTGGATGTCATTTTGGCTCTGCCCGCCCTCACACATTTGAGAATCTGCGGCGGTGCCTACAAGTCGGAACCTGAATACGGTGTTCTTGGAGGCGGGGCCATCCTGGCGACGGACGCGTTTCCCCGACACCTGCACACGCTCGACATCGCGCTGTACCGAGGAATGGACTTTTTCTTTCAATGGCTGCTTGCGCAGGAACAACTCCCAGTCTTCACGTCCCTAAAACTCGGTGGGCGGGCGAACGGTGCCCCCATCGAGCCGCTAAATACCTACTTCCAACTCGTTGGTTCCAAAATTGAGTCTCTGTCTTTGGACTACTGGGTAGATGGAGTGGACGGTTGGTTGAACGTTCAACACTCTTCGCTTTACATCTATGCTGATCAGTGCCACTCCCCCCTGGTATCCAGCTACCGATGCATTCGAGGAGCGCGCCATGACCCTCACCACCAATCTAGTTCACCTCTCCCGCGCGCGGCAATACCCCTTGTACCTCCATACCACGTTTACCTCCTTATCCTCCGTCCGACTCGCCACAATCAGCATAGAAGTGTGGCCCATGCCAGCATTTGGACGTGCAGATTGGCTCGCGATCGACGAGGTCCTGGCGGCGCCGCAGTTCTCCGCCCTGCGACGGATCACCTTTACAGACCAACGTACCAAAACGTCGATGGTCACAGCGTTGGTGAGGGAGTGGATGCCCCAAGTAACTGCGCGCGGCATTCTGGATTAGTTGAGCATGTATGTTGAATATTATCTCTACGACGCCCTCACGCGTCCGGTGTTGCCACGCCTCCACGGTGGCACCTCGCTCCATAACTGTTCGAGGTCTCGCAGCCAGAGGACTTTTGATCATATACTGTTTGAAAATAAAAAGCACTAAGAGCCGACATATAGTTCAAGATATTTTGGGTGCGTCGTTCAAGTAATGGATATAAAGTAGCCGGTGAGAAGAGATGTCTTCGGGGATTGGAGTAACTTAACTCACTCCTCCTTGTAAAACGTTGCATCTGCAAGTCGATTGACAAAGTAAATGGTTCAAATCTACTCGGAGACCAACAGGACCTTTTTCCCAGCCGAGAACACACGGTCGATGGGACACAGAAGTTACTTTCGTTAGCGCCGGTCATGCGTAGGTGAAACGCTGCGCATTTACAGCTCACAGCGTGCAGGACATAAGCCTCGAATTACCTTCATCTGTGATGGCGGAAGCATCGGCATCAGGATGGAGCAACCGTGGTGGCCCATAATTTTGTGCCCGGGTTGAAAGCTGTGGTTACCAATGAAAAGGATGGAATGTTGTACGACAACTGCTTTAACGTATCCGCAGATGAACTGGTCTACATCTTCCTAGCCTTCCTTTATGCAATTTTGAGGAGTAAAAAAACGCTGTATTACGGAGAAAAAAACAGGAATGTCTTCGAGTGGATTCGAACCACCGACTCTCCTCCCCATATGGGCTGACCGATTTAAAGACGCAGGAGCGAGTTTCATTGCTCCACAAAGACGATATACCTACACCTTGAACCCTGAATACATACCTTCGATAAAATTCCGCGGCTCGCGTGAAGGGCGAGGAGATGTAAATATGGTTCATCGGATCGAGTGGCCGAATATGCATAGAGCATTATCCATCTCATTCGAATAAGCCTGGATAAATCATAATTTAATCCGCCCCTCTAACCAAAAAAACACAACCAGATCCCGTCGGTCATGTCTTTTATGCGGGGGGAGAAAGCCCGACTGGGTGGCTGGCGCTGCGCAAGTCAGTCAGGCTGGCGCGGCATGATACGGGAGCCGGGCAGTGAGTGGGACGAAATATCCAAGGCCTTAGGAGCAGAGGAGGAGTGAACACAGACGTGCATTAAGGTTCGAAGCGTAAGCAGACTGCTCGAGAGTCAAATCCACGCAAAATCGATGGTGGTAGATCTACTAAGTAGGCTCGGAGGCGGTGCGCGTCACGCGTTACTCGTGACTCCCAACCACCACAATGGGACTCTGGATTTCACGATCTAGCCTCTTAGAACGAAGACGAAGCTTGTGAATCTACTCGGCTTTTCATGGATCCTTGACTTTACCTCGGGTCCATAACCGACAAACTGGAGGACATTACGTTATAGACCGCGGTTTTTCTCAATCTGCACGCTGCTCTCGATAGTGCCGAATATCAGGACGGGAGGGGTGCGCTGCTCGACTCTTAGATCCTTGCAACCCCTCTGAAATCCGTAATCCGCAGATAAGATTCGCGTATTTTTCTAGCTTTTATTTCTTGTGGCTTGGGACGATTTTGTGAAGGCGACGCCAGGATACGCATGTACTGCGCCATCTTGTCTACAGGGACGCCATATGTACGTCGCAATATCTTCAACTGAACGGAAGTCTCATCACATTGTGTTGCAGGAATATTTTGCGACGCTCATGACAGGACGAGGTCCACAATCCGATTTATGTACGCTACTTTTTCGCTCTCTGTTCCAGTGTCATGCAAGTCTTTTTTATGTGTCGCCGAGTTCTCCCGTGTTTTGTGGTACTCTGTCGTCTATCTTTATTTCTTCATCTGGTCTCCATTTTCATTTACGCTAACGCCTTGTCCAGTTCTTGCCACTCGTGTTGGGTATCGCCTCTTGTCCTGGCCCCAGCCATCGGTGCGTATTTCACTTGTTGCCGGGTTCTCCTTCCGTCCGCTCATTCATTTATACCCCACGCCATCCTGTAAACACCTCCGCTTCCATCCTTTCCCGCCATCATCCTTCGCTCCGCCTCCTTCCGCCCATATCCTCCTCGTCACGCTCGCAGCTAACTTAGCTACTCTTTTCAGAACCACGCTCACGCAGCTCCACGGTCCGCCCGATTCAGCCTTAGTGGTCAGGCGTACCCGCAACATCCTTGCGAAGACCCCGCGCAGCTCTACCTTTGGCCCTCCAGCGTGGCGTACCCATCCCGCCCTCCGCCCCGGACGACACCGTCTTTGCACGACGCCCGCGCTACTTCGCAGCTCCGCGACATGGAGAAGCAGCTATACCTGTCGCGGGGCCTTCCTGGATGGGGACGGAGGGTTCATACCACTACGACGAGCCCAGTCCAGCGCAACGCCGTGCCCAGCGTGACGTCTCTGCGGGCTTGGTCTTCGCGCTCTTCAAGTCGTGCCGCCACTATCGCGGGCCCGAGAACGTGTCGCGCAGCATGTCTTGCGCCGCTAGGGCTTAATCATGAGCCTCGATCGCGACACCAACGCCCTCCGGGACGAACGTGAGGCCCGGGAGCGCTGGGACGACCTCAGCTCTGCGCTTTAATCCAGGGTGATAACCCTAACCCTAGTCTCCTCCGCCTCGAGCGCCGCTTGGAGCGCGCCCACCTCGCACACTTGACATCTTTGTTCAAAGACATCACGAAGGATGCAGCACGAAGTCCATCCTCGGCGTCCAGCCCACCACGATCTTCCGTCTTCTTTACGCGATGACAGCGCGTCGCGCGCGACTACAATCTCGACCGACGTGCGCCCGACAGCGACCGTGCTGATTCACCCCTGCTTATCCACCTCCGTTCCCCGCGATGCTGCCTTTCCCCATACCGCTCTCCAAGGCACAAGGACGCAGCTTCTGCGTACGTCGTTCTCGTCCGCCGAAATCTCCTGCGACGCCCGCGAAGGCGCAGTGACGAATATTTCCGGCTCTCCTTTGCATCTCCCCGCCCTCCACCGCCTCCATATTCTTCTCCTGCCTCGCCTTCGCCTTCGCCTCCGCCTCCGCCTCCACCTCCAGCTTGCACCACACATGTGATGTACCGCCGAGATGGCAGCGCCCACACCTGGTCCTCGTCGCGCGCGCTGGAAATGTCGAGGACGCCGCAAGAGCAATGCGCTCGCGGCTGGGGCCGCACGATGTCGGCGCGCCGTCCGCGGTTATCTCATGGCTGATACTCGTGTGGAAGCTCGCACCAGGATACGTGGACGGTCCCTCGCGCAGGATAGATCACGGACTTGTTGGGGGGGTGGCCGTGGTGAGTGATGACGCGGCGACGAAGACCCGGACCCCCGCAGTCGTGACGGAGAGAGCAACGCAGGCCGGGCGAACGTCGAGCAGGGATACTTACGAGGGTCCAGAGCGAGGTGGGTGTGACTGGGCGGATGGGGCTTTGGGTGGATGTGCCCGGGCTGGTCGTCGCGGAGAAGGAGGTACGCATTTTCCTGATCGCGCAGTGGACGTCGTGCTTATTCCCTTTCCAGGTGTGGAGGGACTAGATTAATGAGCGAATTGTATGCTGCGGGGGGCCGCTCTCGAATTTCCTCCGATGCGCCTCGTCGCTAACTGGTGTATCCAGCCATGGCCTGACAATCTCGCAGTTGCCGCACAATCTACCACCGACGTCCCTCACCATGTCAAGCCCCATTGTCACCGACGCGTCCACTCGCGGTGGCAGTGCTCCATTCCGATCGGCTCTCGCTTTTTCCATCCAGATCGCAGCATAACACATTTCGCCGGCTTACTTACACGCACGACCACCCGCGCCATCCACCCCTAGGACTTCGACGATGGAAGCCCACAACGAACAAAGAACAAAGCACAAAGACCTCAAGGCGCGTTCCGTCACACCGCGTTTGTGACCCCGGCGCTTATTCTCTTTGACTCTCGCCACCACTGCGCGCCACTCGACACCACCAGCCCGAACGATGGCGTACCGCCATGCGGTCCCCGCGCCGCTCTTCGAGTGCTCCGGTATCGCGGCCGACGGCCGGGGATGCGGAGTACCGCTGATGAACGGGCACAGATTCTGCGCCGCGCACGCCGCGCAAGGGGTCTGGACCGTGCCCCGTGCGATGAGCATCACCAGCGCAGGCGCCGCGCTGCTGCGGGCTCGCGCTGAAGCACGCGCTATGCAGGAACAAAAACCAGGCAGAAGTTTGCGTTCTGCTACCTGCATCGCGCGCAGGCGGGGCCGGCATTGGTGCGGGCGGCGCTGGGCGTCGAGTGGCGGGAGCGGGCGGTCGTGAAGGAGCGGCTGAGGCAGTTTGCGCGGATGAGGGAGGAGCATGTGCGGGAGGGGACACGGCGGCAGGAGGAATGGACGGCGAGGGTAGCGGCAGGAGGAGGCACGTAGAGCTAGGGAGAAACAGCAGCGTCAGTCTGAATACAACCAGCAATATCAGCGTCGAGACTGGGAGCGTGCAGCGCGAGCGGCGGCAGGAACACGAACGCGAACGCGATCGGGCACGACAGCAACAGCGTGAACGCGAACAACAGCAGCAGCGCAAGCGCGAGGCTGAATGGGAACGACTGCGACGGGAGCGAGTGCAGGCGCAGCGCGCTGAACGGGAGACCCAAAGCCGGGCTGAATACCTCAAGCACCCTCTCGGCCGATGCGCCGCCTTCGATGCGACGGTTTTCTCCACCAACAAGCCTAACTCCTTCGCTCACATCCCTTGGCCTGTGTTCGCGCGTCCGGACGGCACGATCCACATCGAGGACATCACGGCCCAAAATGTGCGCGACTTTTACAATCCGAGCCAGTAGATACGCACCAGGCCAAAGGACTCATATTCCCTCCATGCTAATGAATTTCCCATTCTTTCTCCTCAGGTGCTTGAAATTCCCTTTAATCCCCTATTATTTTGTGAATTGCCTGATAAGATACAAAGGGCTTTTCCTGTCGGCAAAAAAAAAAACACCGGACCGCGAATGAATCGAACGAGGAGTCCTGCATGTGTTTCCACTAGAGCTCCCGTTTTTTAGCAGATGCACACCAACACCACGCTAGAGTCCAGGAACACAAGGATGGACTGTGGGGTGGGTGCGCGTCGGCCCCATCTGCTTCAGGTCTTTTTTGGGGGTGTACAGCAAAATAAGAAATAGGCTTCTTAGCTGGCTTTTAAGTGCCCCGATTCGAACGAGGTTCCCGCTTGTATATCTTTTATGTCATCCCAAATCATTGCACCAGATGCGCACCAGCGCCCCGGGTCTTGTATTCCCTTTCCCGTCTCTGGATAAGTTGCCAATTAGTTTCCTGTGGACACAGCCCTCGAATCGACGGAGGACCGGCATGCATCTGGATCAAGGCCCGTCATTTGTCACGGGTGCACAGAATGGATACGACTCGTGTCCCCTGCTCTTACATCGTGATCAAATTCCAAATATCTGCCACTTTGCACGTTCCGCCTGGTAATCATCATGTTGATTCGACCATTTGAGGCATATTGTCAGAGATAGATAGTTTGCGAGTGCACAGAATGGATACGACTCGTGTCCCCTGCTCTTCCATCGTGATCAAATTCAAAATATCTGCCACTTTGCACGTTCCGCCTAGTAATCATCATGTTGATTCGACCGTTTGAGGCATATTGTCAGAGATAGATGGTTGTCACTGGGATTCAATAATGCATTGACAGAGAGAACCAGAATACTACTGGCTCCTGTTTTTATGACCATTCTTCGATGGACCGGGATGAAACCCTGATGGCTCTTCTTGTTCCAGGTAGTGGAAATTCAAGGTTGACTATTCAAACCTGGTGTTT